ATTAATACGAGACCGCAGACATGTCATTTCTTTCTTAGTGTTTGCTTCGTCGTTCAAAAGAGCTTGTGAGTAGTCAGAGTGCATTCAACAGCAGTGTGCGGGCACCCTTAATACTACTAGTCGGGTAGGCTGCCAGTTAATTAGCAAGTTACAGCAGGGCACTCGACGACGCCGCGCCGGTCAAAGCGGCTTCGTATGCCTCCGTACTTTTTAATATCGTATAGCATAACGACCAACGTGGTCAGGTTCGAAGTCTAACAGGCATACATTACACAACACAGTCTCACACACGAATAGTCCCCCCTATAGTATACATTTGCTTACGGAGTATAGCAACGAAGGTTTCTTATAATAGCCATATTCAATTAGTCCTATTTGTTGCAACTCTATCGCACTCATCCCAGGGTTTAACATAATGGCTATAATTATATTGTTCTTTTCACCTTGATAAGTGTATGGATGAAGTAAAACTAATGTACGGAGTTATCGCGAAAAAAACCGTAAATTTGTTTTATCCTTTATTGAATTAGGTACCTTATAACAGGATTACGAAGAAAGAACTTAATGACTTTGGCGTTCACTCCCAGCCAACATGGGTGTGGTAAGTGCAATTTTGTCAAAACTATGTACCAAGTTTTGACCAAAATTAGTTAACGGATTAATGTTATGTGTTAAACCCTATACGTACGACATTTCTGACGTTATATAAGCAGGTCAATGACATGGCTTTTAGGTCTGTTTCGGTGGGTGAACACACATGTAAATAAATATGCATGATATATGAATATTCATGCATAGTTGCAAATTTCTCATGAAGCATTCTACTCGTCATTTTTCGTAACGCTTACGACTTAATTTCAGGCGCGTGCAAGTGTAGTCAACACGTTATAAGGTTCACTCGGCGATAACCTCAAAATAGGCTGTTAAAAGCAACTATTGTCCGTCCTAAATCATCATGCGGAACACGCACGGCACGTGTCTCCGGCTGCACGTACGCCCCTGCTTGCTTTTTGGGTAAATTCCAGAAAGTTCGGCCAAGAAAGATCGCTGATGGAAGCCGTTGGTATAAAATACTTTAAATTAAGACAATGTATGCGTAAACAAGTAATAAAAATTTAATTGAAATAATCCAGAATAACGAGGAACTTATGAGTTAATTCTAATCATGTAGACCATAAAAAGCACCTACTTTTATTTCATTTTTAATGACTAGAGATATTCTTAATTTCGACACGATTAATAAAAACAGGAAAGCGTTTGAATATCTATTACAATTGAATGCATTCAAGTTAACCGTCCCAATTACGCGGCCATTTCAAACGTCGCAAATAGGTTATAAACGCCCATTGCACGACTGCCACTGTACGACAAATCATTCGACGAGGGTATAGTGGGAGAATGGCGTACCGGTATCTAAACATCTCCGATTCTCATACACGCGATGTTATCAATGATACATAAGAATATGTCAACATTGTAAATGTATTGTAATCCTATTTGAGACTAGTTAACACATTATAATTAAAGCAGGATGCACGGTGGTGGTAGATTTACGAATTTGCCGCCAATAGGCTGTTAAAAGCAACTATTGTCCGTCCTAAATCATCATGCGGAACACGCACGGCACGCGTCTCCGGCTGCACGTACGCCCCTGCTTGCTTTTTGGGTAAATTCCAGAAAGTTCGGCCAAGAAAGATCGCTGATGGAAGCCGTTGGTATAAAATACTTTAAATTAAGACAATGTATGCCTAAACAAGTAATAAAAATTTAATTGAAATGATCCAGAATAACGAGGAACTTCTGAGTTAATTCTAATCATGTAGACCATAAAAAGCACCTACTTTTATTTCATTTTTAATGACTAGAGATATTCTTAATTTCGACATGATTAATAAAAACAGGAAAGCGTTTGAATATCTATTACAATTGAATGCATTCAAGTTAACCGTCCCAATTACGCGGCCATTTCAAACGTCGCAAATAGGTTATAAACGCCCATTGCACGACTGCCACTGTACGACAAATCATTCGACGAGGGTATAGTGGGAGAATGGCGTACCGGTATCTAAACATCTCCGATTCTCATACACGCGACGTTATCAATGATACATAAGAATATGTCAACATTGTAAATGTATTGTAATCCTATTTGAGACTAGTTAACACATTATAATTAAAGCAGGATGCACGGTGGTGGTAGATTTACGAATTTGCCGCCAATAGGCTGTTAAATTTTTGCTGGCCCTACTGATCTCTGAAATTCTATACCCTAGTCGGCAATCGTATTAATTACATGATTATCTGCGGATACGCCGCAGATTTCAGCAGGCTAAGTAGGCTGGAGATTTTAGGGAGCGACAAATCTGGTCCTAAAATTTTTATTTTACAGAAATAAATAAAAACATCAATATGAACATAGAGAAAACGAACATTGAAAATTGAATGTAATGAAAGACTCGTAACTTGATTCATTTTATTGAAATTTTTAATTAGATTGTTAACAGAAAATTTTATAGGGATACTGTTCTTACGATTTTGAAAGTATAAGTGCAATAAAAACTTACCAATGTTTACTAAATGAACATTATTTTGTGTTAGTTAGAACATAATTGAACTTTTTCTAGCTCTAAGCACTAATCTTCACTAAATTGTGAGTTATAAAAATCATGGTAATAAAGAGAAATGTAAGAGGACTATAGAGCACAAATCACAAAGTTGCAATTTTATTGACAGAATACTATTAATTATGACCCATGACTTACAACCTATACTTTTTTAACTTAAGCTAATGTAATGTTCATGGAAGACACATTTAATAAATAGTATTTGTTGCCAAATGCATCTAACACACCATTTTTATTTTCAATCATCATTCGAAAATCTGCTTCTATTAGTGGGACAGACTGAAGTGTAAAAATGTTTTTAATAGGCACATGTAAATCTCAAAATGTCATGATTATGATAATATGTAAGGTGTCCCAAATCCAAACTTATTTATTGGTCAACCTTTTCTTGAACTTTAACACAAAATATTAAGAATAAACCAATTTCAAATCAATACAGCAAGAACTATTCAAGATCATTATTTTACAGTGCAGGGAAGGATTTTCCTAATCACAGTAAAACAGACACAATGTACAACACCAAGACTTTGAATAACTGTACTTTTGATTTTTGTATACCAAAAAGTAAAAAGAAATGGTAAATGCTACAAATATTTTACAAAATTTCTCAATCCATTAAACTTTTTACTTTTGATGTTAATTATAAGTATAAAGCTTTATTGAACATTATAACATATTACTAATTTTTCTACCTCAGATGCTTACGCATGATGTTTCCTAAATCTGTTTTTAATGGTGATCAATTGTAAACTAACATTACTTTTATAGGAGTATTACATTTTTCAGAAAAAAATGGAACACATCTATGAAAGGATTTGAGTGTGTTGTTACATATTTATAGGTAATTAAATAACCTAATCTGCCAATCCATAGTGAGGACGCATGATAGTACACATAGATACGTACACATAGTATGCATAGTCAAGACAAGAGTCCCAGCAGTGGGATAAGTATAGACTGTGACTTCACATTACTAAATACCCTACACAGGAAGATATGTTACTTTATTAGCTCTCATAGTGTAAAATAAGCATTATAATCATTAGAATAAACAATGCTATTGTTAAATTATTGTTTTTATATTTTTAAGGTTTATATGGTTTCATTTAAGCTTATAGTTTATATGGTTATGGTTTCTTTATATGGTTTAAGCCACATTTCAAATTCCCAATGAGACGCAAAAATGAACAAAACATTATCCGAAACAATCATCACAATGCTAATTATTTCTTAATCAAAACCCATTACAGATTACAAATTCAGATAGCATTATCTCCACACACTAGTAAACAACATGAGGTGGACAGTGCATAGTTGAATCATCAGATTGTCTTTACATTAATATCACCTGCATAATAATTGGACAGAAATAACATTCTTTACTTAACAGGTAAAGCAACAAGGTTATTGGAAAATATCACGACTTGTAACTTCATAATGAATTCCATCAAAAGTTCCTAATAAGTAGATTGACACTGACATGAATAGACCAATATTAAATTGTGGACTGAGAAATAAGTGTTGGTCGTATTTAAAGCGTTTATTACAACTCTTAAAGCAAGAAAACACGAACACCACCTTACTATTAAACAAAAAGTAATGTAATACTTACAATTTTAACTAGTCGAACGGCAAAGTACTCCAGTTCTTTAGATAAAACACTAGTTATACCCCATCATGCACATTGTATTCACTACGCGAAAAATAAAGTGAATTACCAATTAATCCTGTCACTGCCGCGTTAGTTATCCGATTACGAGGATCCAGATCAACTTCAAGTTCTAATTCATACCCTTTCGAATATTTATTATGATAGAACACGAGAAGTAATGGATTTTAAAAACAAACTTAATATTTAACCTATCCCTTGCATTCAACCGAACATACTCATTCCTTTAACACAAAGTGGTCTATACCACTGAGCGTATTAATCACTGCACGACGTCTACACGCTACACCACAGGATCCAGGGAATATTGCGCACGCATTCTTTATTCTACTCGTCGCTGAATTGACATATGAATAGTTGACAAGAGATGCAATGTTGCCCTACTACATTGCGAATGCTTATACATTTACTTTTTCTATTTTTAATTATATTATGGAAATTATTATTTTTCTATATCAAAGAGGGTCGTATTTATTAGAAAATATTATTTCTCCTAGTGAGTACAGTTTTATAAATATGAAAATATTTTTAGTGTATTATTTCTCAACGGAAATAATACAGTCAATTCAAGTATCAGGAATATTATTCTATTGAAATGTCAAAGGTTCAGAAAAACTTGTCAATAAATAATAAAACTGACGTGTACTTTGCTCCTAAATCTCGCACGTTTAAATTAAAATTTCATGTAATTTTCAGTACATATCATAATGTCCGAATCTGATAGGTTGCTTAATAATGGTACAACTTCAAGAGAGAATTCTGATGCAAGAGCCGAGGGTGATGCATTCGATGCAGTTTCTGATCGTGAAGCATACTTCCAAGCCCTGCGTCTATGGATTCAGCAAGCACAAATGTACCAAAACATTTCAACATGTTTCCCTTATTACATGATGACGTTCCAAGGCCTTCAAAATAATCCTACCAATATACCCCTTTTGAACAACAACTACCAGTTTCAGGGGCATCAATTCCCATTTCAAATACCAAATCCTAGACCTGCAGCTGAAAATCAAAATCCAGCAGAACGTCTTACACCAGCTGAAGGTATATTGCTATTGCACATAAGTGTATCACATATTTGTAACATAAAACACATTTGAAAATTGTCATGGTTGAATGTTGAGGTCACTATTTTTTTTATATTTTCAGTCATTGCCCGACATGGAGGGTATGAATATGTTATACCACCCCTATACAAAAGGTTGATGGCAGAGTTTATAGATTTTGTATTGCTATTTATACTCAAACTTATTGTGACATTTATAGCTGTGGATATGTTTGAATTGATGTAAGTATCTCTCATATTATTTAATCATTTATATTAACATTAATTTGAAGAAAAATAATTTAATGAATAATGTTTTTTAAAAATATAAGTGTAGTAACTGTTAGTTAAATATAACAATTAAAATGTTTTTTTTTTATTATAAGTGTTGTTGCAATTTTTTACTTCGTAATTGTTGTTATGTTTCCCTATCAATTAAAAATGTTTATATGCGAAAAACAATCACCCATAATTTTGCATAACCTTTTCATGAAACAAAGTTACACTAGACTTGAAAAGAAATTGAAATTTACTAATTAATTACTTTACCGTTTTACGAAAGACATAAATGATCTTAATATATAATTAAAGGAAAAATTCTACAAAGGACTAGGCGGTATGGTCGAAAGACTATAGCCTGCGCCATGGGCCAAAAAAAATTATAGAAGATTATTTTAATTTGTTTTACATGAATGACTACTCATACTAACATGAAATGCTATCATATTACAACAAACTAAAGTAAATAAGTTTTATATTATTAATAATGTAAAAAATCTTATGTTCTTAACATTTCCCCAGAGACGTTGAGAAGTTTGACTTCTACAAGTTCAGCGAACATTATGATGATTACAAATATGCAATGGAACTGACATCCGAAATTTTATTTTTGGAAGTTATATACAGGATTTTAGTTTGTATATTTGAGGTAAATTTTCAATCATTTCCTTAATTACTATTAATTAGATTTAAGTTAGATTTAGAAGACAGAAATCAAATCAATAAAATATTAAATTAGTGAATGTTTATTTTGTTTCATATAAAACTAAATATTGTAGAAGACTGACAGATGTGAATTATTTAATTAGAACTTAGAAACTGTAAATTTTTGACAGACTGTATTAGATCACAGTAAGATTATTGTCTGAGATGGTTATCCCACTATCTATTGTAGGCCGGATAACTATATGTCCGTATGCGGAAGCCCAAATTTGCTCAGCGAACTTTAGAGGTTGCTCTGCTCGGTATTTATCAGCATGATAGAGTTCATAATGAATCTCATAAAATGAGCTCAGATGATAAGTAAACTGAAGTGGCGAAGGGGCCAGATCTATAAAAGAACTGATAACCAATGTACTGTTTTAGTTTACTTTTAAATTTTTTTATTAAAAATTAATATATACCAAGTTATTAATATTTTAAAACAAAAAATTTTAGGACACCTTGTAAGCATAAACTGTAGAGTGAAGTTCATTATTAAGCTCTCAGTTTTTTGACAGATCGGAGCATCAAAGTCATCGTCGACGGTGCATGCTCTGATCTTAAATTTGCCAATGTTGGTGTTCCACAAGGCTGCGTACTGTCTCCTACTCTGTTTCTTCTACATATCAATGACATGTTGCAAATCAGCAACATCCATTGTTATGCAGACGATAGCACTGCGGATGTCTCGTACACTGGCCGAGCTAACATTTCTCGGGAAAATGTCTACGAGAGCCGGAACTAGCTGCCGGAACTGGAACTAGTTTAACTTAGCATAGTCTGAGGCCGAGACATTGTTAACCAAAGTCAGACTGGGGTCGACTAAACTTAGTCCAATTTAACCCCAAAAAGACACAAGTTTGCGCGTTAACCGCTAAAAAGCCCCCATTTGTCGTAACTCCTCATTTCGAGAACACACCGCTATCTACCACAGTAACAGCGGTATACTTTGCGTTGAAATCTCGAACAATGTCCAGTTCGCGGTCAATTGGAAGGTAAGGCCAAATTGACCTCAAAGAAGCTTGGTGTGCTCAGCAAGGCGAGACAGTACTTCACGGTTACTCAACGCCTTTATAAGGCGCATATTCGGCCCCACTGTTCTCATCTCTGGGCAAGAGCACCCTATAACCAGCTTCTTCCAATTGACCGCGTTCAACGTAGGGCGGCTAGGGTTATCGACGATCAAAGGCTTTCCGATCGGCTTGGTCCTTTGGCTCTGCGTAGATGTTGGATCACTCTGCGTCTTCTACCGCATTTATCACGGGGAGTGTTCCGAGGTATTGTTTGGATTGAACCGTTACGACCTTTTTTTTTGGTATCGGGGGGGAAATCTTCAAAAGATACCCTGTCACTTTACATGACAGGGTTATGTGGGGTTCTTACCCACTAAAACCCCTCGGTGGCCGCCTTCTGTACATTTGGAGGGACTCCGGGATCTCCCATGGAACGCTACGGTGTCCATCGGTACTACACATGAGCACGCCTCGGAGAAGGATAAACCTTCTCCGATCCCCTCACCCTCTTGCAGCAACACGAGACCACTTCGTGCTGCTGCCCATCCGTGTCCCTTTTAGTCGCCTTTTACGACAGGCAGGGGATACCTTAGTCCTATTCTATGAGCCCGGGACTACAGGGCTGGAACCGTTACGACCTGGGAACCTTCAAGAAGAGAGCATACTCTTTCTTAAAAGGCCGGCAACGCATTTGTGAGCCCACGGGTGTTGCAGGTGTTCATGGGCGGCGGTAATCACTTACCATCAGTTGAGCCCTCTGCTCATTTGCCCCTTTTCTCCACTAAAAATAAAGTCACCAACCATATGATGGGTAAATGAATTTAAAAGGAGACAGACCACGCTGTTAGAAAGTAACAATCACGTTGTAAGGTTTATAGGTACAATGTGACTGAGACATTGTCGTTTTGAGTCGAAAAGGTAAACATTATGAATGGATCAGCCAGTTGTGTATAGTTGTTACAAATTTTGTTTCTTTTTTACTTAATTAGATTGTTTGAAAATTATTTTTTTTATTATTGGCACGTAACTTTAGAATTGTGTTCGTTTAATATCGCGGTTGTAACACCACGATGTATAAGTAGTACTTGCGATATTATTTATGACAAAATCTTTTGTTGCAGGCATTTTGTTTATGCGGAAGTGTCGGGCGCACAGGTGGCGCTACACCGGGGAAAGCTTTACTCGGTCTCCGAGTCGTTACCGCAACTGCCGTAATTCCTGTTGAGGGTCGACCGAAAGAAACTGTCCTTTTATATCCTGGACGACCTCTTACTTTTTTCCTAGCCTTAGCACGATCTCTAATGAAAAATTTCCTCATTTCCCTTCTGTTCCCATTATGCATCGTTCTTTTCGTATTTCGTCATAATCGCACCGGTTACGACTTATTGTGTGGCGTCATCGTGGTAGAAGAAAACATGTTTCCTCCACGAAGACATGCACCATAATTACCTGTGATAATATGTATTGTATTGTACATTTTAACTTTTAACAAAACTTTGGCAGCCGGAGTTAGATAGTTGTCTTTTACCTAATATAAACATGTCATTAAATTATATTAGATAAAAGTATAATTTTCTTAGAATATGGGGACGTTTTCAATTAATTAATTTACGAATTAGGGGCTATGACCAATGTTAAACTACATTTAATTCTCTTTAAGTTATTAAGATAAAAAAAAGTTGTACAATTGTCTATTACGCTGAAACGTAGGCAAGAATTATGTGATAAAACTTCAAATTATTTTGTAAATAGTTTATTTTTATCAGTAAAGTTTTGAAACATGGGCCAAATTTTATTTATTTTAACTTGTTGATGACTTGGTGGACAGTTATTGGCTTCGGACAATTATTTTTGTGGTCACAGATAATTAGTTTTTCTGGATCTGGGTGTTTATTATCAAGGAGGCTTCACGACAGGCGGGCACCGTAAAACAACCTAGTCGATGCCTTTATTTATGTGAAAAGTTGCCAAGCGGGCAGACGGTTCACCTGATGTTAAGTGAATACTGCCGCTCATGGACATTTGCTACACCCGAAGGTTGCAGATGCGTTGACAACCTTTTGAAAATTTGGCTCCGGCTACCTCACTCACCAGACGAAACGCTGAAGTATTATACTTCCACTTTACGTCGGTCTTCTGTGAGGTCGTGGTACTTACCCGGACGAGCCAGGCGATTGGTGCATCAGACGAGGTTGCTGCGTGGCCCTACCACCGTGAACACGAATAAGAGCAGGAGAAAGAAAAAGAAACTTTCAACTTACTTTAAATTCAATTCCATTTCATTAATTCAAGTACGTGCTTCTGTACTTCTTCTTCTCTACTATGTTTTTTAAATGTTAAAAAGGATAGTAAAAGTGTTTTTCATTAATTCCTGGTCAAAAAACAATCGTAAGTGGTTACTGTGCGAATTGGTTACTTTAGAAGAGTGACACCGTCAGTGTTTTTAGAACCTTTTCATGAGGAACATCCTAGCAATGCTTTTAAATTATTATGCGTTGTATTAAATTATTTTTTTAGTTTTACTTCATAGGCGTGTAAATGTTACACGCAGTAACTTATCAAATATTAATGAGGATTTTAGAAAACTATTTGAATTTCACACAAAAATTTAATAATTACGCAACAGTCTACGCTGTAGCACAAATGGGTAGGTCCGTAAGAGGAAGTATCACAACCTCACAGAAGACCGGTGCATTGTAGACTTCTGCGTTTCGTCTGGTGAGTGAGGTAACCGGGACCCACTTTATTAAAGGGTGTGTGTATTAAAGGGTCGCAACGCATCTGCAAACCTAAGGGTGTTGCAGATGCCAAAGAGTGGCAGATGAGTTTCAAGTTTCCGTGGGCGTTGATCAGCAGTTGTCACTAAACATCATTTCTACTCCCTGTAATATAATTAATAATACAAGACAAATTACACTAGTCTTAAGTCTTGTTTGTTTGAAGCAGTATAATACTTGCCAGTTTATGACTTGACTTACATTGCCTTAAATATGATTACACTCTAAATTAAGGATGCGTTCATTTCTTAGTATTTTGTTGAAATTTTCTGATTTTTGTTTTGTTTTTAGACTATTTCTCTTGCGATTATAAATAATTTTATTTATAAAGAATAAAAATGTATTGTATGTAACCAAAATTCAAGATACTTCATTAATATTGTACACTAATCAATTTTTGCTGAGTTGGCTTATTCATTGTACCGTCAGTCTGCCGTAACGTGGCGGCGCTGCGCTCGTGTGAGCCGCAGGAGTGGCCCCGATTGTCATTGTGCATGTAGTTTTCTGTGATAAGAAGCACTGTGAAATTATAGTTTAGCATACTAAAATAGTTATAAACGTTCACAATGTCTGCATCGGGTGAATTTGGTAACCCTTTACGTAAATTTAAGCTCGTTTTTCTTGGAGAGCAAAGCGGTAAGTGTAAAAAATGTTCCATTGTACATTTTTAATATTGAGACTTATGTTTAACTGAACTTACATAAATGTAATAGATTTTGATTAAAAACAAATGTTTTTCATATTGTCTTCATATTCTATTGATTGTACTCTCCCATTTTGGACATTTCCATGTTAATTTGATCTGACGTCGTAAGACTTGGAAAGATGTAGGTTACAGAATGGCATCATAAGAACTGCATCGAAGTCACACGAAACTTTTCCCTTTATCAATTGGTGTTTTATAGCCATATATAGTTTTTCAGTTATGCATTTAAAAGGAATTTATGTTTTCAGTGGGAAAGACCTCGCTGATCACTAGGTTCATGTACGACAGTTTCGACAACACTTACCAGGTGAGTCACAAATTTGTTATTTTTTTTAAGATTTAATTTGCTATATAGAAAGGTTTATATTAATTATTGTATTATGACAGTACGCTGAAACCTTTTATTATGCCACTGAGTGTTCTAAGTGTTAATTGTATAGATTTATAGAATTAAATTAGATTATAAGTGTACAATCTAAATTAAGAAAATCATTTATTGATTCAAGTGTGGTGGAGGTTATAAATAATATCTAAAATAACCAGTATAATTTTATATTGCAATGTAATTAATAATAGAGAATAATAAAGTAGATAAATTATAAATAGAATAATGTTATATATTAGTATGTATGCCCAAAATAATATGTTTATTTAAACTAGGTTCTAAGTAATATTTTTCTTGTCTCATAACAGATTCTTGAGCCAGTAAACTAGTTGATATGTTGAAACATTTGAAAATGTTAAACTAACTTTATGTAACAAAATGCTACTTTTTATTAAAGTAAATAAAAATTTGTTAATGTCTTATATTTACCTGTTTTTGTGACTGAACCTATTAATGGAAATTATGTTTTTTAATGGTAATTTCTTGTATTTTTTATCAGATAATTGAACTTGTATGAAAGATATCAAATTTACTTGCCTGATTGAAGAATTTGGTTAATAGTGTTGATACTACTTTATATTATCAAAGTAGTTAATTGTAAATTAATGGTATGTAGTAAAGATAAATAATGAATAAATTAAATAAAATAAATTGAAAGATAAATAATGTTAATTATTTATATATAGAATAGCACTATGAAGAGCTATTCTATAAGAGATAAATATTAGAGAAATTTAAATTTTTGTATAAGTAATTTTGCTTTTTTTTTACAGTCATAAAAACATAATTTACATTTTTAAAACATATATAAGACATCAATGAAGTCAACATTTTGTTATTTTTTGATAAATTACATTGTATATTACAAAATGTTACAATTTTCATATATTAATATCAATATGCCTTGGTTAGAATTTTGAATAACATTAAACAATGTTTTGCATTTAAATTGATCTATGTATGAATCTTTTATGTAACAATTATTAATATATAAAATGAAATATTTAACATTTTATATAAACCCAACACACAAATACAGTAATAAATTTCTAACATCTGTTTATAGACTATTATGTTATAATGCCAATTATTACCATTTTTAACAAAAGGGTTAATTTTAACATAATGTATATTATATCAAAGGATTTCAACAGTTAACAAAGTATAATTTCAAACTTGTTAGTTTTACCTACACATTTTATAATAATATTAAGTGTTTAAATATGTATGATATGAAAATTCTCAGAAACTATTGAAGTTTTGTGTAATGATGAAATACCATTACCCTGAATATCTTTTTTTATTCAATAAAATTATATTTTATGTAGAAGTTTCAATATTTGATAAATTCATGAAAGTCAATTGCCTCAACAAATTTCATAAACATATTACATAAAGATGAAAAATCGTTCAAATTATGAGTAGAATGCATAATAAACATACAACCGAAATGAGCATCTTTTTTTTAAGTTGTTTGTAAATACAAGAGTATTGTGTTTGCCAGTGTTCTTGGAGGGTGGTACATCCTATCCCGCTTTGAGCCAACTAATTCATTGACTGTCTTCATTACTGAAAGTCTTGCCCGTCTTGTAACACTATGACGGAATCTGTGACGGGCTGCTTCCTGTCTTTGGCTTTCTTAAGGGCAGTGGAAATGGGGAGGCCAGTTATCATTTTGACTCGTTCATACTGACGGGTAGGTGCCCACATGATCTTTAATCATACACTTTCCCAACTACAACCAACACATGACCAAAATAAGTTAGGATTCATTGATAACATATTGACTATCTGAAGCCGCTAAATAGCCACGGTTGCTCATAAACTGTAATGCTGTAGGGCGCATCCTTACTAATGTTATAAAGGTAAATTTGTATGTATGGATGTTTGTTACTCTTTCACGCAAATACTACTGAATTTATTTTAATGAAAATTTACAATAATATAGCTTACGCATCGGAATAAGACATAGGCTATAATTTATATACATATTTTCTTGTCTTTCTGTCTGAATGTTACGCCTTCAGCCTATTCTACGCAGACGTAGTCGCGGGCAGCAGCTAGTATTCTAATATTCCTCGTTGTGTGCACAGGCGACGATCGGCATCGACTTCCTGTCGAAGACCATGTACCTGGAGGACCGCACGGTGCGCCTGCAGCTGTGGGACACGGCGGGCCAGGAGCGGTTCCGCTCCCTCATACCCTCGTACATCCGCGACTCCACGGTCGCGGTGGTCGTCTACGACATCACCAGTGAGTAAAAAAAAGTAAAGTAACAGCCTACACATGTCCCACTGCTGGGAAAAGGCCTCCTCTATACAGAGGGTATCAGGGCATAGTCCACCACGCGGCCCCACTGCGGATTGGCGGACTTCACATATCTTCGAAATATTTTTTTTTGTTATTATTTCGAAAATATGCAGGTTTCCTCACGATGTTTTCCTTCACCGCGGAGCACGTGATAAGTCAGCACTTAAAGTTAAAAACTTCATTGGTGCCGGCACCGGGGATCGAACTCAGGTTGCCCGAGTATATTGAATTAAAGGCGAATGCCCGGACACTGAGCTATCCGGTCCGTTTCTACACAGTAAAAGAGTGATTGGGTTGGAGCTCCTAATTCCCACTCAACGAGCGCGGTAGCAGCATGTTGGGGACGTGCGCACGGCGGTTCGGTGATGCCTTGGAGTAAAACCCAACGAGCGCAGTTCGATTCACCAGTGAGTGCCGCTTACTATTACCAAGCTTCCTTACGTTAGGCTGTCCTTTCCCACTGCTGATGGAACTGCACTCGCTCCCCGTGACTCCTTTAAATGCGATCACCTATTCGTACCGCCGTACTCGCGGACCTGAAAAACTTGACTCGATTGATTTCTGTTATTATAAGGTACCAACATAATGTATGGTAAATGTCGCGTTCAATTTTATTTCATGATATTTTTAAGAACAATATACATCATTAAATCTATTAATTATAAACGCTAGCTGCATTTCCTTGATTTTTTTTTATTTAGGTAAAATGTGAAATCGCCGACGAATCTTTGATTTTTTCTATAAAATAATATGAAATAGAATTAAATCGTACAGTTTCATTAAACTTAGCAAATGCTGCGGATAAACATTTATGTTTAACCGTTTTCTTTTCTACGTTGTCGTTCAAGTGTTTTCCAGCGACGGCACTCAATCCCGCGAGGTCTACACGACCCTCTCGTGACGACCTTGAGTACTGCCATCATTAATTTTTTTTATGAAATGGGTCTTTTTCGCCTATATTAGGAGCTTAATGAGTCCACAATTTTAAGTTTTCTACAGTTGAGGCTTATTCATATTTAATAAATTTAGATAAATTTGTCTCTTACAATAATTTCGTATACTTCCTGCGTCGGTAAACTAGGTCTCGTTGATAAAGGAATTGGCACACTTTGAAACACAACTTGTGCCGAAATATGGAGTAATATTTTTTCAACGCGGACATGCAAGCGTCTTCCTACTCTCCTAACTGATGGTAGTGATAAAGTCATCAGTGAGAAACTCATCAGCACAGTAAGAGCATATACAGTCTTGCTTCGACTGGACCTTGATTCGGTTCTTTCGTTATACGCAGAATCCAATGTCAATCTGTTATATGTCACTCTATTATATATATATATACACATTTGAATCACACACATCACTTAGAGAATGAAACGCCTATTTTTCCTTCTTTTAACCGAAGCTGTAATGAAACAGATAAAAAGAAGTTGACGGATCTGCTCATTCGTGCAACAGAATCAACTGTTGTAAATTTTACTTCACAGACTATTTAGCCCCCAAAATTATTAATTAGACAAACATTTTCAATTTGAAGAACGACTTGGCAACTTGTAATCACTTGCAAAATCAACCGACCGTTGCTCGATGATTTATTGGCATTGCCACAGTTTCTAATGTTATTTAAGTAACTGAAGCACCATACGAGAATAATGTAGCGCTGGATATCTCCCGGTCGTTATGCCAATGAAATTTATGTCTCGCTTTAGCCATAGGGTGACCATGTATAGGAGGGAGATTTTTACTTTGAATCTGTTTATTTTCGTGAAATGGATTTGAAAAATTCTTCTTACTAAAGTTACTTTAGGTCAGCTGAAATAATTGTGTGAAGTGTATGATATATGACAATAATAAAAACGAATTACCTGTAATCATTAACAAATAAACATTCAATAAATATACTTTTGTATTCGACATTTAAGATGTTTCGTTGTGGCCAAAGCATTGTGAACCTGGTTAAATCAAGTTAGTTCCTTCACTTTTTTTTTTGTTTATGTGAAAAGTTGCCAAACGAGCAGACTGTTCACCTGATCTTAAGTGAATATCGCCGCCCATGGACGTCTGCTACACCCTAGGGTTACAGATGCCTTAAAATTAACATGACATTTCGGTCCGTAGTATATGCATAGCATGTGTATACTACTTGTATTGCATTTATAATATATGTCATATGATGTAAAGCGGAACAATTTTTATACGCCGCTCAGTATGGAAATACATGACTATATTATTTAAACGTCATTGCTATCTATACACAGCCACTTCACCAACTGCCGTTGTGGGTTGGATATTCATTTGGTAATAAAATACTAACAGAATAATGAGAGTACCAGATCGTAAAATAATACTTGGTAGTCTGATAATAATTTCATTTCCATTTCTACCTACAACTTCATCTCTACGACCTAATAAGTGAAAATTAAATTTAAAGGTTTACATTCAGTATACATACGCCGATTAAGATCAAATCAATAAGGGAAGGGTGTCGATAAAATATACGCTTGTTGATGTTTAGTTGTAGGCAGTGCCGGGTTAGACTTGCGGTCGCAATACACCTGTCGGACGCCCGGCCTTGTGCCGAGATCTACCGCAGGATGGCGAGATCTGTTAGCATATCAATTCAACAATCGCATCGGGCGATTTGTACGAGAACTAATTCTCAATCTTCATCATTGTCCGTTTCTTCTGTCGTGTCTCTTCCAGTTGTATGTAATATCAAATTTCTTTTTGTTGCAATGGTAGTCTGATTTTTAATTAAATCAGCTTTTGCTCCCCTATATATATTTAGAGAAGAAAGTAACTTAATTACCTATTCTATTATTAACATGTATTAGATCGGTCTTTCTCGTTTATATTCGTTTGTTGCTAGAAATAAGTTTATCTACTTATCCTTAGTTCTTCATCGGTCGAAATTTGATCGCCATTAGATTATACATTGTATGGATTATTATTTCCATACACACAATTCTTACGCGACGATACTTACATTGTGCAATTGTCTCACAATAGACTATTGTGTTTCTCATAATAAATGTAAACAATAAATATATTTTTATTGACATATTTATAACATGTCTTAAACAAAATTTAGCCTTCTGCCCTTCTTCATATGCACTTTAACTATGCCAAGTTATACACTTCTTTGTGCGAGTGACATTCTTAAAAATGGTTCCGTGGTTTTCGTCCACGTCTTAATATAATTATAAATATATTTATATTACGAAAGTCACTATAAGGATATAACTTTAGCTGTCCCAAATTTTTCAAAAGGAAGCCTGGTGACAGAAGCCTCGGATTTATTAAAAAAAGTTCATAAGTTGGCTCAATTTTGGTTTCCCCTCTAAGCCAAATTAAAACTTGGGGCGCTCAAACTTATTACAGACATTGTGGGCTGCCTCAACGCGCAATACGTTTTAATTAATACACTTAGTACTGCGTTGTTAGCTACATTGCGTTGCATAAGTAATAGACATTAATACTTATTTCAACGTTAAATCAAATGACATCAGCACAACTAAAAATTGAGAAAAAATTCGCTTCAGCCAAGCTCACATTTAAGTTGTTATTTGATGTGAATATCGTACAAAGGCATATCACTGTACTGCGATAGTCCGCTTTAAGTCGAAAACACATGCTCGATCTACATACTGTCTTTTTGTTCGCGGATTCATTTCAAAGCTATGGTCTTAGCTTTCGTTTACCTCTATATACGTGTTATTTATTACGTCTATTCCATAGTAAATATACGTTAATATCAATGTTTGAAATTTGAATATAAACCTCCATTATAAAATACGAGTAAGAGAGATTTTGTTAATTTAATATCATCACGCACTTAATACGCACTTTTGTCTAAATATCATGGAATTAACCGAGTGTAGCGTACAGCGGATGACGTCATCAAAAGCTCGAAGCTTATCCAGTGCCAGTAGACGGTGTCAAGTGCGTTATGCGAAGAGCACAAGAGTTACGTAAGCTCCGTCCATCACGTTTGCGACAACGGCCCAATGGACTCCTCCGACCCGGGTCTCTGAACCCTCAAACACCAACCGGAGACACGTAGTAAGCTTTTTAATTGAATCTTATTGAACAGAGCCGTACCACTGCCACTTCGCAAGTTTTACGAGAATTCGTAAAATACGTAATAGACATTCGTATTTATAACTTTGCGTTTTTGTATTAATATATTCCGTTACTTTCTCTACATGACAAGATTTATTACTTTCCTTGGAACAAATCTTATTTGGACTGTATATTGCGCGGCTATTCGCATGTGCAGTGTACGTACATACGCCGAGTGTATTATTTCGTAATATTCTTGTTATTAACAATTCTTAGGAAATTGATGATGCAATTAAACTGTTCAATACTTGTGCTGCGGACAGAAGGTAAAAAAGATGTTTACACAGTAAAGTTTTTTAAGTAAACTCATAAAATGAATTTAAAAATTATGTCCGCCCCGGTCGTAAAAATCTCTGGCCTTTAGGGAATCTAATTTATGGCATATAAGGAATTGTGTGGGAGTATCTATTTTGTGTTAGTTTATTTTTTCTTCGTTAATTTAGACATTCACAGTGGAGATATGACACTCGTTTTTAGGTAAACTTACTTTAAAAGCTGCTTGGTATTTAGAACTGAAATAAATTGGTCGACCGGATTTTAAAACAACGCCAAAATCGGCTTTTTGGGACTGTGTGACTTGTTTTGTTATTGCATAAAGGATCTAGCTTTACCGAGGACGCGGCACGGTCTTGGAAACAATCGACATACGTTAACTGCTTTATCGCCCGACCTCTTAAAAAAAAGGTACGCTAGTGAAAGGCATTGAACGCCGATAAATAATTAAAGTCGATATGGCTCTGCCGCATAATAAAGCCGGTAACGGTTCGGACGTAGCGACCTGTTGGGTCGTTGAACATTCAACAAAACGAAACTATTTAACGCGT